CCCCATGAATGTAATAAGATGCTGCTTTACCCCTTCAGATGTACTCATCGTTTTGAGAATTCAGAATTCGGAGGTTTGAAGGAACTTCTGCTGGCTAGGGCATTCCTACTTGTACTGTCTCTAGGGGGAAGATGTTTGCTATTTCTATTTTTAGAGTCTAAGGCTTGCTATTGTATAGACACTTGTGACTGCCTTCATTCTGTGAATTATGGATATTAAAGTAAGTTCCAAAATACTTTAAAAGTAGGTCTTGGCTACAAGGAAGATGGCAAACGGGAAGGAGGATCTGAGAATCAGAGGAGCAGAAGAGAAATGATCCTGAAGAGAAAGATGATTAAAATAGCTTCTTAGTCGTTTTGTGACTCACTATTGTGTGGGTTTTTAAACGGAGTTGATAAGAATATCTTTTGAAAAAATAGCCGAGCACGTTATTTTGTTCACATTTTGTAACCTTTGGGTTTGGTGCATAAAATAGTGAATTTCACAGTGTTTGTGTTGAGGTGCTATGGGGGAGATAAATAGGCCCTATCTGACTAGGTAACTTTTTTTTTTTTTTTTTTGCGGTACACGGGCCTCTCACTGTTGTGGCCTCTCCCATTGCGGAGCACAGGCTCCAGATGCGCAGACTCAGTGGCCATGGCTCACGGGCCCAGCCGCTCTGCGGCATGTGGGATCTTCCTGGACCAGGACACGAACCTGTGTCCCCTACATCGGCAGGCGGACTCTCAACCACTGCGCCACCAGGGAAGCCCCCAAGGTAACTTTCTGATTGAAGGAAACATCCGTAGTATGAGCTTAATGTTTGGATCAGCTGGCATTGGGCTGAGGAAGTCACCCTTGGTTGATAAATAATGTGCATTTTATGAGCATTTTCTATGTACAAGCCACTCTCATATATTAATTTGTTATTTCCTCAACAGTTGTATAAAGGGGACAGAGAAGTGGCATATGAATCTAGGCCATCTGGGCTTCAGGCTCTGATCCCTTCACCACTCCTGCTGTTTGGCAGTTGAGTGGTCCCTCAGTATCTGCAGGAGGTTGGTTCCAGGACCCCAAGAGATATCAAAATCTGCAGATGCTCAAGTTCCTTATATAAAATGGTGTAGTGTTTGCTTATAACCTTCCCATGTACTTTAAATCATCTCTAGATTACTTATAATATCTAATGCAGATTACTTATAATATCTAATATCTACTTATAATATCTAGATTACTTATAATATCTATAATATCTAATGTAAATAGTGATGGCGGGGGACAAATTCAAGTTTTGCCTTTCTGGAACTTTCTGGAGTCTTCAAACCGTGGCTGGTTTAATCTGGATGTGGAACCCGCCTATACAGAGGGCCAGTTGTATTCCAGAATGGTCCAAGTTCATAATGGCAGAGGAGATATAGAGAAGCAGCATAGCATTCCAGAAGGCACTTTGGCCTTGGGGTCAACTCTAGACTCCACCCTCATTTTATTTTTTATTTTAAAAAATTTTTTATACAGCAGGTTCTTATTAGTTATCTGTTTCATACATATTAGTGTATATATGTCAATCCCAATCTCCCAATTCATCCCACCAGCATCACCATTCCCCCCCCCCCGCTTTTCCCCCTTGGTGTCCATACATTTGTTCTCTACATCTGTGTCTCTGTTTTCTGCCTTGCAAACTGGTTCATCTGTACCATTTTTCTAGATTCCACAGATATGCGTTAATATACGATACTTGTTTTTCTCTTTCTGACTTACTTCACTCGGTATGACAGTCTCTAGGTCCATCCGCATCTATACAAATGACCCAGTTTCGTTCCTTTTTATGGCTGAGTAATATTCCATTGTATATATGTGCCACATCTTCTTTATCCATTCATCTGTCGATGGGCATTTAGGTTGCATGACCTGGCTATTGTAAATAGTGCTGCAGTGAACATTGGGGTGCATGTGTCTTTTTGAATTATGGTTTTCTCAGGGTAGATGCCCAGTAGTGGGATTGCTGTGTCATGGTAATTCTAGTTTTAGTTTTTTAAGGAACCTCCATAATGTTCTCCATTCAACCCTCATTTTAAATGGTTAAATAACTTCAGTCTGACAGCTTTCAATATCAGACACTCACTGTTGACCCCCAAATTTGTATCTCCAGCCCAGACCTCCCTCCTGTAGTGCAGACACTGGACACCTCAAATGTCTAAAAGACCCTTGGAATTCACATATCTAAATCAAGTTCCTTATATTTCACCCCAAACCTGATCCTCTTAGTCTCCCCATCACAGTAAATGTCAACTCTGTCCTTCCAGTTTTGTCACTCAGTTCAAAACTTTGGGGTCATCCTTTACTCCTCTGTTTTACTCTTTCCTATTCAGTCTGCTCACAAATTTCTCAGCTCTGCCTATAAAATATACCCAGAATTCAACTGCTTCTCACCAGGTCCACTGCTGTTATTGGTCTGAGTCATCATTAGCGGTGTTCTAGATTATTTCAACAGCATCATGACTGGTCTCCCTGTTCGTCCCTTGTCCCTTCTCAAAACAGCAGCTGAAACAGTCTTGTTAAAACTTAACTAAGGTTATGTCCCTTCTGTGCTCAAAACCCTCCAGTGGCTTCCTAATCCCCTCAGAATAAAAGAAGCCCTTACACTGGCCTAGAAGGCAGTACCCACCCACCACATTCTCTCTTTGACCTCATATCCTGTAACCTCCCCTAACTCCATCCATTAAGCCACCCTGGCCTCATGGTCCTCCTTAAACTGTAGGCACGCTCTCCACCCCTCCTAGGGCCCTGGTACCTGTGGCTCCCTCTACAAGGAATCCTCTTCCCACAGAGAAATACATAGATCACTCACTCCCTTATTTGCTTGAGGTCTTTACTCAAAAATCAGGGACTTCCCTGGCAGTCTAGTGGTTAAGACTCCGAGCTTCCCCTGCAGGGGGCAAGGGTTCGATCCTTTGTCAGGGAACTAAGATCCCACATGCCACACGGTGTGGCCAAAAAAAAAAAAAAAAGAAAGAAAATGGGCTTGCTCCTTTTCTTTTTCCTTTCTTTCTTTTTTTGACTTTACCATTTACTCCCATTCTCTGTGCTGTCAAAGAATGGATAGGTACAAAAAAGGGGAAAAAAAAAAAAAAAAAAAAAAAAATTCACCTTTTCGAGCCCTTCCTTGTTCACTCTTTTTATTTATTTATTTTTTATGAATTTATTTACTTTTGGCTGCGTTGGGTTTTTGTTGCTGCACGTGGGCTTTCTCTAGTTGCGGCGAGCGGGGGCTACTCTTCACTGCGGTGCGCAGGCTTCTCATTGCGGTGGCCTCTCGTTGCAGAGCACGGGCTCCAGGAGCACGGGCCTCAGCAGCTGTGGCATGCGGGCTCATTAGTTGTGGCTCGCGGGCTCCAGAGCACAGGCTCAGTAGTTGTGGCGCACGGGGGCTTAGTTGCTCCACAGCATATGTGATCTTCCCGGACCAGGGCTTGAGCCTGTGTCCCCTACATTGGCAGGCAGATTCTTAACCACTGCGCCACCAGGGAAGTCCCTGTTCACTCTTTTTTAAAATTGCATTTCATTCACCCACTTTTGCTATACTTTGCTAGTCCCTTTCTTTGCATTTTCTCCTTAGCATTCTAAGAGATAGCATCATTATCTAACAGTCTATATCTACTATTTCCTTGATTACACTGTTTCTCCCCACTAGAATGTATGCCCCATGAGGGCAGAGATTTTAGTCTGTTATGTATCCCCAGCACCTAGAAGAGTGCCTAGCACAGAGTAAATGCTCAATATGTTTGTTGAATGAATGATCTCTTCATATATTTGTTTGTCATTCCAGTTGCGTCAGTTATCTATCGCTGCATAACCAAATACCCCCAAATTTAGTGGCTTGATACAATAACAGTGATTTTATCTCCCACAATTCTGGAGGTCCCAAGAGCAAGCACCCACAAAGACCAGACAGAAGCTGTGTTGCCTTTTACAACTCAGGTTTGGAAGTAACATAGGGGCCCTTCTGCCTTAGTCACGCGCCCACCTGGATTTAAGGGGAAAGAACAAACAGCCCAACCTCATGATGGGAAGACATTAACATCACACTGTAAGAAGAGCA